GGGCACCAGGCAGATACTACAACCAAAGCACCCAAGCAGCCTTGTGCTGGCGCAACCACACCGACTCCGGCGATCAGCCAGCCTTCGGCAATATACTCAGCATCATCATCGCAGTTAGCGTCGCTCCACGCCAGCTCGAGGAGTTCACTTTAAACTTTAAGCACCGTTGCCGCTCTGGATCATTGCACCGTCGCACCAAACGTGGCGCCCTTGGTTGCTGCTTTTACCACTCATGTTTTGGTACTAAAGCCCGTAAGTATGTACAGCCATGTAGCCACCCCTCTACAGATGATCCGCCAGGCCGGGCTGTGTTGGCTACGAGCGACATTGGCAAAACTAAGTACGGTCTCATCTACAGTAGGGATTATGATTCCAGGACCCAGTTCTTAGTGGGCGAGGGGCGGAAGTCAGTGTCCTTCCCCCCAATGACAGTTGAGCCTACCGCTTCTTTGTCGACAAGCGTGATTTCTGCTAATGGCACCCTAATAGCCATCAACGGTCAAGGATCACTTACCCCAGACCTAGGTCTACGGTACAGGTGCGTACTAGTGCGTAGTCACCATTGTTGCAGTCCCCTTTGCCATCATCGACATTGCATTTATCAGACTGTTCGACCACTTGGTCGATGCAAAGCGCCAGGTGATTGTCGACACTGCAATTCAGCTCAGTGTACGTGGCATCAACACCGGTATTGCACTCAGCACTCCTGTCCACGACAATCCACAGGCCACGCCAGAGTACGCCAACCTCATTTCCCAGCAGCCCAAGCTTGTTCAGACAATGAGCGCCGCTTTGCTCGCGGCGTTTCAAGTCACATATCACATACAGACGGATAGCTCACACGTCTCGTTCCGTCCACGCCGACTATCGACCGAGTAAGTTAAGGTAGCTAAAGCAGAGTAAAATGCGCTTGCTCGAACTGGGGATTATCCGCTCTTCCGACAGCCCTTGGTCCTCTCTCCTGCAGATGGTCCCCAGAAAATCTGGAGACTGGTGTCCATGCTGTGATTACCATATTCGCAATCGGCTAACCGTACAAGCTAGGTATCCTACCCCACACATGCAGGACCTCAACGCATGCCTCACAGGTAAGACGATCTACAGCAAGAGCGACCTGATTCGCGCCTATCACCAGATACCGGTAGAAGAAAATGACCTTCCTAAAGCTGCCGTTACCGGTCCTTTCGGCCTGTTTAAATTTTTGAGGATGAAACTTGGACTGCGCGAGGCTGCACAAACTTTCCAACGCGTCAGCAACGATGTCACTCATGGTCTATGCTTTGCTTCTTCCTACTTCGATGGTACATTAGTAGCCAGTTTGTCGGCACAAGAGCACCTCGACCAACTTCGAACTCCCTTCCAGTGCAAGACACAACACGGTGTCACCGTCAATCCGACTACTTGCGAACTCGGCAAATCAACAGTAATTTACAAGACCACTTCATTTCATCGTCTAGTATCGAAGCCCTTCCTGAGAACATTAAGGCTATTATGCACTTCCCAGCTCCGACTTCAAGCAAGCGCATCCGTCGATTTTGTGGGTTGGTGAACTACTAGCGACGCTTTATACCGTGCTGCCTACGGCTCATGCAGCCTCTGAATGACCAACGCAGAGGGAACGAAGGTAAGTTTGCTTTCCCGGACACAGTTCAGACAGCCTACAACGAGCTTGAGGATGCTATCTTTAACATAACGTTCCTCGCTCATTCCAAATCGACTACACCCATTATTAGTACAACTGATGCAGCAGAGGTCGCGGTAGGAGCCGTCCTCCAACACCACGTTGAGGGCAGTGGCAACCCCTTGGGTTCTTCTCAAAGCGCTTGCAGCCAGCGAAATCCGGCTACAGCACGTTTGGCAGAGAACTGCTCGCCATTTACTTAGTTATTCTTCACTTCCGGCACACAATTGAACACCGCGCTTGCAGGGTTACGATGACCACAAGCCCCTCATCTTCGCCTCTAACATTGCTTGCGACAAATGATCACTGCGGGAAACAAGACACCTAGACTTTGTCCCACAGTTCACCGCCGACATACGTCAGGCCTCAGGTTTTCACCATCCTGTCGCCGATGCTCTCTTATGCATCATCCTCACCCTCCAGCCTTCGCCTACCGTCGAGCTTGCCACCAGAACATCTGCTCAGGCTCAAGCTGAAGCCATAAAACGCACTCTGCTGTCCACAGCACTACATGTGCAACATGTTCCGCACCACAGCACGGAATTCCATGGGTTACCCTAGACCCTTCGTGCCCGTCGCCTTTAGAGACACAGTCTCTGACGCACTGCACTCACTATCACAAACCAGTATCCGTGCAACTTTGAAACCGGTCACCGGTTTCGGTTGGGCACACGTAACCAAAGATGCACTACATGGGCTCGCGCCTGCCTTCAACGCCAGGGCTAGAAAAGACATCGTCACACCCGCTATCCTCTTGCTTCACTTCAATCCCCGGACACACGGTTCTCGCATGTGCAAGTAGACTTGGTATGTCCGTTGCCTCTTTCACGCTTATTCGTGTGCATTCCTTTATGTCTCGACAGCTTAACCAGAAGACCAGAAGCCATTCCTGTAATAGACCGCACAGCTGAGACAGTTCACCGGGCTATCTTAGATCGGCGGTTCCCACACTACGGATGCCCATCCACCATTACAACTTACCGAGGAACGGTCTTCGAATTCAGACAATTCGATAGTACTGCAACTTATTAGGCTACCGCCGCATTCATATCACAGCTTACTACCCAGCAGCCAACGGTTTACTTAAAGGTTTGCACAGACAGCTAAATGCCTCGCTGTGCGCCTCTTCGGACCCTAACTGGTTCAAAATCGTTTCCCTCGTACTCTTAGACGTCGGTAGCCGAACCAAAGCAGACTTGCAATGTGCAACAGCAGAGCTGGTTTAGGGCCCAACGCTTAAGTTGCAAGGGAATTCGTTTATCCCCCTTCATCACCGGGTATGCCACCGCCTAACCTCACGTCCTCCCTAGCTCAATGCGTACGTCCACTACACACGACCATACCCCGTGAGCCAACTAGAGACGTGCAAGTGCACAGTGAACACTTTACTTGCACTCACCTCTTCCTCCGCCTTTACGAAGTGTGGCGCATTTCTCTAGCCTCAATACATTGGCGTTTTCAGAGTCCTGAAACCGACTCCGAAACATTTCCCTTAGAGCAAACTGGTCACCGAACATCTTTGTCCATCGACCGCCGCACAGTTGCTTTCTTGAGGAACCACTAGTAACCCATCTGCTTGCTATCACACAAGCCCCTGCACCTGCGGCCAGTTCCCGAGCGCTGTATATAACGAGACCCTCCGTTCTCCTTGATCCTCAAACAACATTGCCACTACCTCAGGTAACCGATCGACGCAGTAAACAGGTCAAACGTCTGGTCTGCAGTACAGATTTTGTAAACGACTGTTGTTTTCATTAACACCCCTTTCGCCTTTAGTGGAACTCCAGCGTCTCGTGCACAAAAGTTCTGCAACATCGATAAAAAACAGAAACATGTTGAAAGCGTAAAAGGTGTGTTTGCTTTTAGCATGGATGCCATGTTCACTCCCCGGCTTCAAGCCACCTTCCCCAATCCTTACCCACCCCCTGAGTTCTAACTTCCAGAAACGCAGCCGCCAGAACCGCCAAAGCAAGCCTCGAGTGACCTGCCAACCGGCCCAAGCAACCCTCGAGTGAATCACCAACTGGCTCAAGGCCTCTACCTGATCCAAGGAAATGTCCATCACCCTCAATCGCGGCCGGCCAGGACGGTATTAGACCGCAACCGCCTGACGAGGATTCCCGCATTTCTTCCCTGATCGAGAACCGCTGACTAGAAGGCGGTTGAAGGAGTGACACCTCCCAAGCGCACCGTCGGGTCTGCAGCGGAGGGAAAGTCCTGTTGGCATTTTCCTGGAATAGCCAGTTATTTTTCCTTCAGACCAGTCCGCCAAGACGGCCCACCGACGATGCACTCTGGCCTAAACCATCACCATTATTAATTAATAAAAAAGAATGGACCCAACAAACTCTGCTTCACACCCTATCTTGAACGCCCTTGTTCAAGATAATGCAACTATTCGCGCCCTTCCTCACCACCCGCTTTCCACACTAACAGCTCCATTGAAAGCTTCTACTCTTCAGTCTTTTAGGAAGAGGATTTTGTAGTGTATCGGAACGCAATCTCTTTCACTAATCTGGACGTTGGATTTTACCGTTGTTTTAACCTTCAATACGTACACGTATTTTACTTACGGCAATTCCGTTGACACAGCTTGTTTTGATGAGCATCGTGCTGCACCGTTTATCGCTCTAGTTGGTTTGCTTAGTATTTTTGTAGCCTGCACAATACACGCTAAATCCAGTCACCTCCAACTTTCATACTGTCCCGTGGTTGACACTTCGCTTACGTGGCATTGATTACCGATTATTATCCCAAGCGTTACCCATCAATACTTGGGTGACATTAGTGTAAATCCGGCCCCACCCACCCTTTCCATAACTTCAGAGCAATTAACGAACCAGTGTTACAAAATTACAGGCAACGATTATTAAACCTTATCTTTGGCCTAAACCGAGTATTTTACTGGATGGTCATTTTCGCTGAATTCCAGAAACCGATTTTGAGGGAAAAGTTCATCACGCACGATAACCAGCGAGTGGATCTTAGACGCCAATGTTTACTTGACGCAACGACATTTCTAAGATAATCGACGACATCTACATTTATATGTCTATTGACATATTCCACATTCGACGCTTGACCATTTCATATGCTACTCCGCGAGTTTCCAGATATGCATAGGCCTCGTTTCCACGAAATAAACCCCAGGCACGCTGTTATTTCATGACAACAGCACTCCTGGCTCACCGGTGTTTTTACGTCCACCTCGCTTGCATTCAGAGAGACTAGCTATCGTATCAATCCCACCTGAACTAGAACATGTTAATCCACTCAGGGTGCCGACAGGCTGGCTGTACCGAAGCGGCAGCAAATATTTTTTCTTCGTCTGCGAATACAACGGCACAATAATTCTCCGTTCATCGATAGTTTGCACAAGTCCGTGCTAGTCCTTACTCCTTTTCGATTTGCGAATATGGGATGTCTACCACATTAAGTGGTCAATCGCTACTCCCGCATGGTAGGTCCCACTTTTACTGCTTATGCTTCGCTTGTGTATTATTTATACACTTGTTTTCCTTTTGCTTGTCGGTCATTCATTACGCCTCAGTAAGCTTGCAGAATGTTCCTCAGGATACCTACGTTTCTTCTTGTAGTGCGAATGAGCTTTTACTTTATTTTTGGCATGTATTTAGCGTCCCAAATGTCTTTGCTCTATCGGTTGTGCTACACTGTAGTGATTTTGATAAGAATCAGCCTTAGGTGATGGCTACCGCCTAGTACTCTGGCTGCCCAAAATGATGCTACCTTTGCTGGCGTATTGGTCGCCGCCTAAAGTGATGCCAAAAATAAAGCCTTTGCATTCAAGTGGGTTTAGAAAGTTCATACATCTCCCGAAAATCCTGATTGGACTAAAACTGTGGTGGTGCTAGAGTCGCGAGACAAATACGCCATGCAGTTAGTTCCAAGAGTCCCTGAGGCCTGTTGTCTGGATGAAATTCCTGTAACGGAGTCCTAAGTTCTCCGGTTGCTAAAAGAGGTGAACCCAACTAAGGCTTCTGGGCCAGATTCTGTTCATCCAAATTGTTGCACGAATTGGCAGGGGAACTCAGTGGACCTCTGACTGTGTTTCAGATCACTCAACAGCTGTATCTTGCTACCGAATGAAAGGCTGTTGTCTGCCCGATTTTCAAGTGCGGTGACAACAGCTGCTAGCTGACTAGCGTGGTCGTTAAGTTACTTGAAAAAATAGTACGAGATACAGTGGAGAACCATTTAAGTAGGTTTAACCTGCTTAGCGTTGAGCAACATGGTTTTCGCAAAGGATTTTCGTGTCAGACGAACTTGCTGGTAGTTCGAGAGTGCTGGGCTGAAGCCGTAGACATTGGACATGCGGTGGATGTGGTGTTCATTGACTGTCCCTAATGGTATGGAATAGCTGGTCGTGCTCTCCAGTGGGTGTCAGCTTTTCTGGATGGACGGGAACAGTGTATTCGTGTGGGAAGCAGTCTTTCGTTTCGACAGGCTGTGCTTAGCGGCGTTCCACAAGGCTCTGTCCTAGGTCCGCTGCTGTTCTCAGTCTACATGAATGACTTGCCGGAGGAGCTTGAGGTACAATCGCTTTTATTTGCAAATGACCTAAAGCTCTGGAATATTGTTGATATCCCTGGAGGTCCTATGGCTCTTCAACGGGTTCTGGATAAACTCTGGGAATGGTCTGTCTTGTGGTTGCTGCCTATAAACCGGGCGAAGTGTTCAGTGCTGCGTATCGGAGCGTCTGATTCCTCCACAAGTTATGTGCTCGGTGGGACTGTACTTCCTCACGTGACTCATCAGGTTGATCTAGGTGTCGTCCACTGTTCCACATTACACTCTGGAGACAACTGGAAGAAGGCGGCTAGTAAAGGTTCCGGATGTTGTGGTTTATCCGTCGTTCTTTTGGGACCCTAACCGCTGATGTGTTTGTGAAGCTCTTCTCAGCGTTTGTGCGACCCCACCTAGAATATTACGTCCAGGCCTGTCCACCATGCCTTGTCCGGGACAAAATGGCACTAGAAAGAGTGTTGCGTGTCGGTACTAGGTTGGTCAAAGGATTACGAGAACAAACGTACCCCGAACGCCTACTTAGTTTGGGAATGCAGTCAATGAACTATCGAAGAATTAGAGGGGACCTAATCCTAACCTACCGTATTTTGACTGGGAAGGTTGGCCCTGATTTGTCCATGCTATTTAGTCCTGCTAGATTATCTGGTCTCCGCGGGCATTGTATGAAGCTGGACAAACCGCGGTCCGATCGAGTTAGAGCGGAGACACGCTTGTCGCGTCGAGTCATCGAGCGCTGGAACCTGCTTCCAGAAAATGTTGTCAAAGAAGCTACGGTTAAGGGGTTTGAGCGTCAACTAGATGCTCTTGGGTGACAACACGAAACCTTTCCGTTTTCCTGACAAATTCCCATCTTCATACTTCGATTCTATTTTCCTTACTTTTCCTCGTCATTGGTATTATTCTCTTCTTTTAACTGATTTCCCCTACTCTCTTACCTTCGATTCTTCCTTCCTCTTTTACTTATTTTACGTAACTGACAAGCTAGGACAGCTAATGTTAGGAACGTGGGCATTAAATTGGTGGACAGGGTGTTTTTCGGGTGTTTTCCTTTTAGACCCATCAAGAAGTCGGAGCACCCCTATCAACTCCTGGATCGACGACCGCTCAAGAAGGAACACTTACGGGATTCATCCTATCGTTCCAGTCCCACTTGAACTTGAACTTGAACTTGAAATACAAAGCTTCAGACCAAGTTAAAAGTACCGACCCACAGACTTCATGTGACCTTACGCCGAGGCAAGATTCCGTGACTTCGCATGCCAGGCCGTTCGCAACCCTTGATCACAACTCCACGTAGAAATGCGAACTGAGTGCCTGCGTGGACTTGCAAGGCTCGCCTGTTCCGGCGTGAGCAGGGGTACATCGTAAATGAACGAAATCTTACAGCGGCCAATTATTGACCAGGTATATGAAATCACTAACTGACAAAATGTTCCGTGCTACTTGCCTACAGCTCGAAATAACCACGCAAATGTTGTTACACGCAGAGCTTTATAGTCTATGATAAAACTAATGCTATCTGGCATATTGTGCGATACTCTGAAATTGCGTCCATTTTTTATCAGGGTACCGATGCAATCACGTTGTTCAGCTTGATGCACCTGAGCGATTTAAATATGTACTTCTCTATGGTTTGCGCGTTCATTTGGTGTGCATACTCCGTGTCATACATGAGGACAATGGCCTCACATTAATCTGTCCTTATTTCTCTGATATCCCGATATCTTGAGTACTATGTCGTGGGACGAGAGTCAGCATGTTCGCTAATCGCATATTATACATCACACAAGCCTGATGCAACGGATATAGCAGTGTTACGTAGGCTGCGTGTATCTGGGCCGCCACTACAGTTCGGTGTAGTGATAAATACGCACACAACTTAAGTGTTCCATCGTACACGGCAAACTGCTCGGTGGAAGAACATGTTGCTGGTGCTATTCCTGTCATCGGAATAAGCTCAGCTAATTGTGATTGCGTGGTTTCACTACCGCCTTTACGAAATGTGCACGTATTTCATGCGCAGGAGCATCAGCGCTGTCATACATGCATGAACCATGAATATCAGGCTCCATAATTCGTCGCACTCATAACATCAGCAGAATAAATTGCATGCAGTGTACGTGTCGTATTGGCAGCGTCCCGTCGTCCGTTCTCCAGATTCTGCAGCAGTGTCATAACAAGACAGTGGTAGAGGCGCTTCTACTGCACTATTATCTGCAGTTCTCATGTTTTATCATAGGCAATGTAGCCGCAGGCACTGGTGCTACTTGTATGAATATAACTCCAATAGCTGGGCAAGGGAGGGTGTGTGCGCTTTTCGAATGTGACGGGCGGGACGTGACCCCGCTAATCCCATAACAAAAGGGTTGGAACAAAATGGAGAAATTTTGGCAGCTCTAGCCGGATTGGCAATCATTGACATGGTGCACAGGGTGTGGGGTAACAAAGGCGCGGAATGGTGTGGATATGGTAGTTGCCCCTTTGTTGTGTTCAAGGCAGAAGCTGCAGCAGGAGTGAAAGTGCGGTGTGGATAAACAGCATTAGGACGCGAATAAATTGGGTAAATATTGGTTACTTCCGCGGCGATCGTCTAAAGGCGCCGTGGCGCTAGCGTGTCGAGACAGTACATTATTTCCTTATAGAACAGTGCAGCCGATTCATACACAGCATTTGATATAGATAACTCATCCCCATTTCTTGATTTCACGACTACGGCAAAGGTTGTCCAGTTAACGATGTGAATCGGGCGGTAGACTACGACTGCATCTGTTGTTGCGGAATAGGCAGTAGATGGCTTTAAATAAACCGAGCAATGCACTAATCTACTATCACTACCCTAGAACTCATGGCCAACTGACACTCCGGTTGATGGAATGCGCAGTAAACATTAAGGCAAGAATATACTACGCCCTGGTTGGAGCGGTTACATGTTGCTTGCAGCCGCCCAAATTGATACGTGCTAGTCAACTTGCATACTTCGTTGTTGCAGCAGGTGGGATTCACTTTAACTCAGACAGGTTGAAAGCTGCTGCAACCAGGTATTCGCACAAAACATTTGACGACTGCCCACAAATAACCATACGTTTATTGTCGCTATAAGCTGAGGTATCGGGTGGTCTGTAAACACACCAAAATGGCTCCGTCGATCCCAGGATATTAACCATTATCCATACTGAGTCCATAAGTACTGACAATTTTCCTTTTTTTATTTTGATATAAATGGTGGCTCATACCCCTTGTTTATGCACACTAGATTGCATGCAAAGCTGATAGTCAGGTGAGTATACCTTCTCTTTAGCATAAGGAGAGGACTTGTTTTCCTAACAAAGATTGCGTCCGGGTCGGCGAGGAAGGACAGTGGACGCGAGATGTGCATTTTATTGTTTAGGGACCTAGCATTTATAAGCGTCATTGAGGAACAACATTTAGAGTCTATTAGCTTAACGGATGAGGCAGTGAAGCCATTGATAGCTATGTGGCCATCTGCAGAAATTGTAGGAAGTGAGTGAGAAGGCATTGCAGTAGGTAGTTGCGTGTTGACGTGTTTACTGCTGGGATGAGCCTGTAGTCGCTCATCCCCACCTGGTTTAAAAAACGCGAAAGTTTCGGTGTAGCAAGAGGTGGATCCTTTGGCCTAGATATATGAACCGGCAGCATAAGTTTGAAGAACGTTACAGTGCGTAATAATCTGGGTGCGCGTGAAGTTGAACGGATCTGTGTGTATTGCCAAAGGAACCCGTAATGCGATGTGTCACGCAAGGTGTGTAAGGGGTGTTAGATTGTTACCGAGAGGGAGCAGGAGCACAGTAACTATTGGGAGACTAGTGGGAAACATGCATACAGGTGTGAGGCAGAATACCGGGGTACCCTAGACGAGAAGCAATAACGTGAGTCAATTAATGAAATGTTAATACC